AAAAAAAAAAAAAAAATGAACAATAAAAGCATTAAAAAAGTTATTAGGCACATAAGTACTGCAAATTTGAACAAATTCGAACGAATATGAAAGATATTATGATAAACAACGGTAAGATCATTACAACAACCAAGATGGTCAATGATTTGCAAACAATAGATTATATAGTTCGTTGTCTTTCAAATAAATAACATTGAAAAAAATGTCAAAGTGAGATCAAAACATTCTTGAATGTTTGAATTAAATTGTCTTTTTTTTATAGGAATATTTACAATTTCATTGTGTATTTTGCTTGAACATATGTGCAATCACTTTACATTATGCACTTTCATCTAAATGTGATGATTTTAAAAAATAATTTAGCGTCTCGGGAGAAGTATATGTAACCAAAATTTTAAAATGTAACTTTTATTGGGAGATGAAATTCAATTTCACCCCGTGGGCAATGTCTCCATAGGGTATGTACCAATTTGTTTTTATATGAACATAATAATGAAGTAGTTTATCAATGATAAAAAAATATCTACAATTTAATAATACGACTGGTTATTTTACAAAGATATTCATTAACTGTTAATAGAAATACTTTATAACACTAAGTCATTATTTAGTTATTTAGTTTTTTTTTTTTTTCCCATTGGGGACTATGTTTTTGTTGGGGTTGTAATGTGTTATTTTATTTTTCTATAATAGGGCATCATTATGTCATTTAAAAGAAAAATAAAAACATTAGAAATTCAATTGTTCCATATTTTACTTCGTTCATGCAATGATATGTTTTATAAATTAATTTATTTATTTTACTAAATTTAGTCAGCAAAAAACATTCACTACCACGTGCGATGCATGTGAACTTTACTAGTACAAATAAAAGACCTAAGTAGCAAACAAGAGATGCATGGAATATAATCAGATTTGTACATATCTAGAAGTTCATTTTGTACAAACCACAATTGATTTGTTTTTGCATGGTGAAGTTGAATTCTAAAATTGAGGGAGCCCAAAGGGCCCCTGATGAATGTACATGAAAAGTCAGTGAATAATCCTCGTAAATTAAGCTCGAAAAGGTTGCGAAAATGGGCCTCATGGGCTGCCGAGTTGAAGGATTTCCAACAGACAAAATCTGAGGTCGGGCCCACAATGCCAACTCAATTGAGGCCCAAGAAAAGTCCATCCTTATAAACACAAACACTCATACACATTGCTGTTTTAGTACTTGAAAAATTGGTCTGATCTATACAGTTAATTTCTCATCACACCATACAATATAACGGTTTTCATTCGATCACAAGACATTGTATGCGGTGATATGCATGCTTTGCTGCGCAACAGCACGTGTTCGTACCGTGAGCTCGAGTTCGTGGCTGACGAAATTTTCTCCATGCTAACTCGAGCGGCCACCATTTGCCTCGATCGTCTATGTTTATCCGATACGATAGTTAGCGCATCTTTTTCTTTTTCTTTTATTTTTTGGCAGAGGATTATATGATTTGTTTGAGACAATATTGTAACAGTTAGGCGGATCGACTCTGTGAATACTTTTTTAACAAAAAAATGCATACTTTTTTTGTTTATTTTTTCAGAACAGTATGACATTTCTGTTTGAAAGTATAACTAGTTAGGTATTTTAAATATTTGCTTCATTTTTAGATTCATGAAGAATACACCTCATAGTATTTAATTTGTCTGTATTTGGATCTAATGTACATAGATAAAACTTTTAGCTAATTATAATAACACATTTTGGTGAACAAATTTTTGTCTCAAAAATTGCAGATCATCATCTTCATGGCTCAACATGTTGTCTGATTTATTAACTAAAATTGATGTCAGCATTGTCACAGCTTGGCCAATGCATAATCCATCACATCTACCAGAAAATCTGCATTGATTATTGAATCATATCAAAGAAGTTGTCCATAATTAAACAATTCATGATATTTTATTTTATATATGCATATATATATGCTAATAGTAAATGAGTTACCAGCATCTGCTCGACTAAAGCACAGGGGAGGCGTAATTCTGAAAACATTGCCGTGAATTCCTCCTTTTCCGATCAGCACTCCCAAATCTTGATAATGTGGTTTTATTTGTTTAGTCGATGTTTCGAAAGCATAAAGAAAAATGAAAAGAAAAAGAGAAGATACCTTTCATTTGATCCATCACTCGAAGAATTTCGACCTTTGCTGGAGTTTTCGCCTTTCTGTCGGTGACTAGTTCAACTCCAAGCATAAATCCTCTTCCCCTCACATCACCAATAACTACACAATATACATATATACTGATAAAACAGTAGTTCAAAGCATATATTTTATTCAAATCTTGCATCAACTTTTTTGCATACTTTCATGTTTTTGTTTAAGATCATCGAGTCGCTTTTTTAGGTACGAGCCGACAATGTGTGCGTTTTCTTGAAGGTTTTCATTCTCGATCACTCTAAGCACGGCTAATCCAGCTGCCGTGCAAACGGGATTCCCTCCAAAAGTGTTGAAGTAGCTTCTACGAGTCAATACCTCAGCAATCTTAGGAGTAGTCACGACTGCACCTAGCGGGATCCCGTTTCCAATCGCCTGTAAATTTGAAAAAATCGAGCCATAGTTCGGTTTAAAAAAAAAGAAAAGTCCAGTTTGAAAAAAAGTAGGCATATGATATTTCTTTCATATTGACCTTAGCCATTGTGACTATGTCGGGCACAACGCCTTGAGTCTCGAATCCCCAAAAATGGCTCCCGACTCTACCAAATCCCGTCTGGACCTCGTCCGCAATGCAAAGGCCTCCCGCTTTCCGGATGCTTCTGTACACGGCCGGCAAGTAGCCTGGAGCTAATTCCACAATTCCACCAACTCCCTGCAGTTTCATATATATAACGAGGTTCGGTTCGTTAAATCTTTTTATAGGAAATGAAAACAGATATACGCTATGTTTGGTAAACTAATCACTTAGGACTTATAGCTCAAAAGCTATCTTATATGATAAAAATGTTTGGTAAACCGATGTAAAAAAATTCAATGGACTTATTTGGAAAACTACCTAACGAAGCTTATGAAATAAGCTTGGGTTTTTTTAGAAAAACTCATCCTACATTTGAATACAAAAAGTTCATAAGCTAACCAAACAAGCTATATGCTAGTTTATATGTTTATCAAACACAACAAAAAGTCACCTGAATAGCCTCTGATATAAACGCAGCTACGTGACCCGAAGTCCCGAACTGAATCAAATCCTCGAGTTCCTTTGCGTACTTTTCGCCATCCGAACCAAACGGGCCTCTGTACGGGTCTGGATTCAGGGCATGATGAACTCCACTCTATCTCAAACCAAACCAAACCAAATCAAAATGTTTCAAATCATAACTAATTAACTATCCTACATTTACTCATCTTCTTTTTGAATTTATTTTACCTGAACAACATTGAATTTCCAGTTACATTGACCAGTAGCTCCCATTGTTCCTGATGCATTTCCATGATACGAATTCCTTAGTGATACGACGTCGTGAAAGCCCGTGTAAAGTCGAGCCATCATCATCGCTAGCTCGTTCGCCTCCGTCCCCGAATTAGTGAAGAATACGACCTAAACAATCCGAATTTAGTCTCTCGACCAAGTTCTTGATTGGAGTTAATATACATCAAAATAAATAAATAAATAAACAAAGATGCGGACTTTGAGCTCGTCGGGTAGCTTTGAAGCCAGGGCCTCGGCAAAATCGGCAATCGAGTGGTTTAGGTAGAGAATAGTCGAGTGCTGAAGGGTTTTTGTTTGCCTGACGATTGCCTCCACCACGTGAGGGTGGCAATGGCCACACGACACGGTGGCAATGCCGCCAAACGAGTCTAAGTATCTCCGGCCCGTTTCATCGTATAAGTATTGCATTTTACCATGAACCACATTGATCTGCAAAAAAAACGAAAAGAAAATATATATTATAATAAAGATCGATTTTCGACAAGACGTCGGATTTTTTATTTCTTGAAGGGAAAATGAAAATGGAAATATGCATGAGCATGGTTCTTCTCACAGGTTCTTTGTAGAAGTAGAACATGGAAGGGCTGAGGAATTGCTTCCGTTTGGCAAGGATTTCGGACGAGGTGGGCCCCACGTAAGGTGGGGGAGCGTAGTCGAAGGGGGGCATTTTCGGTAATTCGGAGGCGGAGGGGGGTTCGTCTGCCGGAGAGCACGAGACGGGCCTCCCGGAAAAACCGCGGGTGCGGAGATTTTTCGATTCCGATAATGCCCTTCTTGTGGC